CCACATTATACTGTAAAACCAAACTATATACTTACTCTGCTGAATTAATTTTCAGATACCGTGGAGAATGGGAGAACAGAACAACTCTGGGGCCACCAAGAGCAAGCGAGCCTGCTCCACACACATTCCCTGCTGCTCATTTCTAAAAGGAAGGAGAACCTTATGGAAAAAGAAGCACAAAAACAGCACACCTTCCCAGGCACTCTGAGCTGCCTGCCGGACTAAAGTGAAGGGGACGACTGTGCAGCGAGGAGCCTAGATGTGGAGTTCAAATGGCAGGGGAAACCTTGGTCACCAAATACTGGTTTTTGTCTTTTTTTGGTACTGAAGATCGAACTCAGGACCTTGTGCTTTCAAGGCAGGTGCGGTTCCACGGAGTTAAACACCTGGCCCCTGGTTTGGTTTTGGTTTTTGGTACCAGGGATTGAACTCAGGTCCTTGCACTTGCAAGACAGGTGGCGGGACCACTGAGCTAAATCCCCAGCCCCCTGGTTTTGTTTTTAATCACAGATATTTTAAGATACTCCAATGAAACATATAAATCCTATTAAAAAAAAAACAGGTACACAAGATTCTGTATCTGATTTCAGGACACATTAGGCTCTTAAAACTCCAATGTGAAAACTCTGGGTGTGTTAAGAACCACTGTCTGACCAGAACAGTGACGCACATGTGTAGTCCCAGGACTACAGAAGAGCGAGGGGAGAGTTACTAAAGCCCAGGAATTCAGGGTCAGCCTGGACATTACAAAAAAAAAAAAAATGTCCTGCTGCAGGGGTAGGAGTGCAGCTCAGTGGCACGCGTAGCATAAACAAGGCTGTGGGTTCCACCCACCACGTGTGCACACGCACACCCTGCTCTAGTCACCCTCCTGTCACCCTCCAGTAACAACTAACAAATTCTCTCCTTAAGCGCAGTCCAGTCCTGTCACCTGGGGGGATAGGACAGGTGGGACGGGTCTGTTTTGTTTTCGTCTCAGAGTTAATAATGAGAGAAGAATTAAACACAAGGCAAGGCATTTCCCTAGACAGGGCCAACTCCAGGCTGCATGACCTCGGAGGGATGGCGTATGGAGACTTAAGCATCAGAGACTGATTTGGAAGTCCCCGGTGGGGAGCACCCCTAAGAAATGCGGCTCACAGGCCAAGGACACCAAACCCCAGGAGAGGCCCCGACTTGTAGCACAGTGGAGTCAGCTGTGCCACAGGCAGTGGTAATCAGGGTCCTCACCTACAGTGGCGTTACAGATGTGGAGAGGTCTGCTGTGGAGTGCAGACATCTGTCCTGCCTGCTTCTACAGCTACCAAAGGACCTCACAATGCCCAGCCCTTTGGCTCCCTGTTGTACTTTCAGTCCAATTTTGACACCCAGAACACACACTTAGGTGGGAATTTCCAACCACAAGGCTCACCCTTTGGGACCGGAAGAGAAAAATGTGGCTGACTGCCTCCCCCTGCAGCCTTGACACTTGGGTGCAGCCAGCTCTGGTGGCAGGGAGGTGTGGTGAGACTCTAGCAATTATCCTTCAGGGAGCAGGGACACCAGTAGGGGGCAGGAGAAACGTGATGACTTGGTGCACAGCATCTGAGGGACACCGGCAGGAGGTGGCATGGACAGGGACAGCAAATGGAATAGCAGGAGCCTCGGATGGATGCAGGAACCAGGCTCCATGACAGAGGTCCCTCAGCATCTGTCTTCCAAAACGACAGAGCCTGCAGTTTCCACGTGTCACTGTCCTGAAACCAGAGATATCCTTTAAAATGACTTTAAGCCAGGTGTGGTGGCGCATGCTTGTAATCCTAGCTAGCACTCAGGAGGCTGAGGCAGGAGGATTGCTGTGAGTTTGAGATCAGCCTGGGCCAGAGTGAGTTGGAGGCCAGCCTGAACTACACAGCAAGACCCTGTCTCAAAAAACAAAATAAAACAAAAAAAAGATTTAAAAAATGAATCACCTCTTCCTAAGGAGTAAAGTACTGGCTCATCAGGAGACCCACGTGCTAGTATAAAATGCTGCCCACATTCCACCTAACATTATCAGGCACCCCAGCAGGGTCCAGGCACCACACTGTTGGCAGCTAGGAGACCTGAGCTGGAAGTTTGGCTTGGACTCCACCCTCACCTCAGTGGAGGCCTCTGACAGCACAGCCTCCCCTGCCCCATCAAGGTCAAAGATCCAAGGGAGCTCCAAGCTGCCTGCTGGGCTGACAGTCAAGGCTGGCAAAAGTCCCCACTCACTTGACACGTGGGCAGTGTCCAGTCCTGCTTTCTGGGGCTACAGACTGGGAGGGGCTGAAGCACCTGTGAGCAGCAGATGGAGGTGCGGAAGTGGAAAAGGACACCAGAAATGAACCAAAACACACAGCATCTCCATTCACTCAATGTAAGATTTTTTTATTTATAAAATGGGCAAACCGTGCCTTGTCCCCCTTAAATTTAACAAACAGCACCCAAATTTTATTCAATCTGAACTTTCAGAAATTACTGACAACTGTCCCCTAACCTACTCCTGAAAGCCCCACCCAGACTTTCACACAACTGGCGGCACGTGGCCCTTCCCACGTCATGAGTTCACTTGGTTGGCAGTCACGGTGGTGGAGCCACATTCCATGATAAGGAGAGATCAAACACAACACGGTGTCCTTCAGTATATCTCTTTTAACTGACACAAAACACCACGATGGACAAAAGTCCCCACATGGTAGTTCAAACTTAATTTGCCATTCACTGTGTTGAAAGCTGACCAAATACGCATTCAAGAGCCAGGCACGCCTATAACCCAGCGCCTGGGAAGCTGAGGCAGGAAGATTGCAGCAAGTTAGAGGCCAGCCTGGGCTACACAGTGAGACCCACTCAAAAATGGAAAACAAAACAAAAACAAGAGAACAGGGCCAGGGATTTAGCTCAGTGGTTCCACCACCTGCCTCGCAAGCCCAAGGTCCCGAGTTCGATTCCCAGTAGCAAAACACAAAAAAACAAAAAGACAAAAGTAAAAAATACTGGATGTGTATAGGCTATGCCTAAAAGTCAAAGTATAAAGGATTTTATTCTATGTTTATTTTTCAGCCTCAGGGAACTAAGCCCCTTCTAAGTCAGTCAAGTGTCTTACTTCCCACATTCAATTTGTGGGAACAATTACTTTTTAAATTTTATTTTATTTTATTTTTTGGCTTTTTGAGATAGGGTCACACTATGTAGCTCAGGCTGGCTTCAAACGCAGGGTGATCCTCCTGCCTCAGCCTCCCAAAAGCTAGGACTATAGGTGTGCGCCACCAGCCCAGGCAGGAACATATTACTTACAAAATCGCAGCTACACCGTGTCTTGCTCTATAAAAAAGACTTGAGGCTGTCTAAGCAAAGAACAAATAAACCTGGACAAGAGCAAATATAAATTAGAAGGCCAAAAACATAAAATCGGCACATTTATTGTGTACAAATGATATCTAAAGCAGACCTCAAGATTTAAAGAGCAAGGACAAAATAAATAACCAAAACAGGGAAGGACAGAGAAAAAAATGCAGATAACAGATCCTGTTAATAGGAAGGTGAATGGGGCTTCCTGCCAAAGCTCAAAGGGAAACACGACCAGTACCTGACTCTTGCTGCAGGAATGTTCCCTGAAAACAATTTCTCTTTAGATGCCTTCAAGGAGCGATTTTATCTGTGATGACCTACACTGTGTGCATTACCAATTTTCCACCGGGTGTGACAGTACGTGATTTTTACTTCCAATCCTCTGGGAGGCTGAAGCAGGAGGATGGCAGAGTTGGAGCTCAGCCTAGCAAGGTTCTGTCTGAAAATACAAAAGTGCTAGGGCTCAACCCCCAGTATGATTCAAACAATCTCCCATCCACGAAGAAGTTCTCCTAAGAAAATTTCTGTGTATCTCAAATGTAAGTCTGGCTAAACATTTCTGTAGCAGGAGAGAGGGAGGCAAGCAGCAGAAGTTAAAGGAGCTGCTTGGAGGCTCCAATGAGACAGGGATAAAGAACCCAGGAAACCCTAAATGCTGGTGCAGGGATCAGGAGCAGCCACTCTCCCAAGCTGTGAGGGCTGCAGAGAGCTTAAGCAGGGTGCAGAACAGAGTCCCCACTGTGACTAATCCCACTAAGCTCACAGTGGCTCTGGGCTCAGTCCTTATCCCACCCAGCCCAGCTCATAAACAAACCTTGAAATGGCTGCCAAGTGCATTCCTGGGTGTGTCTTAAGTTCCTTGGAGAAGAGGTCACTCACTGGGCCTCAGCTCCCAGAGTCTCCATCTTTTTTGTCGTGACAAGATCTCACTACAGAGTTAAGGCTGGCCTCAAACTCACGGCTAGCCTTCCAACTCAACCTCCAGTGCTGGGATTATACACCTGCCTCCCATGCACAGCTTCTCCTTCATCTTTTAATCACAGCACCCCTCAAGTTTAACTGGGCATGTGGCTGCCCAGACCAGGGGCACTATGTCCCAGTATCCCTTTCGGCAAAGTGTGGTCACAATGATGTGAGCACTGTAGGTCGTAAAGCCTTTAAAAAAGAAATGCTAGCTGGGAATGGTGAGGCACACCTGCAATCCCAGCACTCAGGAGGCTGAGGCAGGAGGATCACAGTGAGTTTGAGGACAGCCTGAACTACATAGTGAGACGCTGTCTCAAAAAAATAAAAAAAAGAATAAAAAATACTATCTGGGGCCATGGATTTATTAGCTCAGTGGTGCTGTGCCTGCCTGGCAAGTACAAGGTTAAGTTCAATTCCTGGTACTGAAAAAAAAGAAAAAAGAAGAAATGCTAGCTGGGCACACCTGAAATCCCAGCACTCGAGAGGCTAAGGATCATAATCTCAATCCCATTCTGGGCAATTTAGCAGTTTAGCAAGACTGTGTCTCAAAATAAAAAATTTTAAAAATTTTAAAAAGGGCTGGGGACGTAGCTCAGTGGAAAGGCCCTGGCTTCCATCTCTAGCCCAAGAGAAAAGAGGGGAGGGGGGAGGAGAGAGAGAGAGAGAGAGAGAGAGAGAGTGAGTTTTTGTTTCCCCAGTGGAATGTGGATACGGAGCTTGTAAGCCTGCTCTGGCCTTGTGGGTAGGATAACACCCTGGGGTGGCTGAACAAGAATAAGGAAACCGCAGGGATGTAGCTCAGTGGCACCACGCCTGCCTTGTAAGTACAAGGTCCTGAGTTCAATCCCAGTACCAAAAAAAAAAAAAGAAAAGAAAAAAATGAGGAAAGCAAGTGCTGGATGACCTTGCTGAATTAAATCTACCTGGCCTCTTACTTCTATCTAGTGAGAGGCCATGCCCTTTGGATTCCATTACAATAATTTAGCCTGTGGCTTCACATAATTCACAACCAAAGGGAAAGCTGTCAGAAGAGCTCAAAGGACTCAGACCACACCCCTGGAAAGTCAGTTCCCCAAACCACTATGGCCAACAGGTCACAAAACCAGAGACACCCTGGCAGCTGTGCCACCGTCTGCCTCCAGGAGGGGCTCAGCACAGTAAGGCCCCTGGGCCTAGGCTGAACCCTCAGAGCTGAGGCACACACTGCTCCCTTTGGAAGATAGGCAGGAACACCATGTTCTACCTCTCCCCTAAAGCAGCAGAAGGCCAATGTCTCCATGCTTCCCAGATCCTGTTCTTGAGGACAGGACAAATCCCATACAGCAACTGCTAGAGGCCTGGGGAAGGTCTGACGGGAGGGGAAGGGGCGCAGAGCCAAACACAGCCAAGCTGGGAAGGAGAGGGAGAGGAAAACCCATGTCTCGCTGGTCTCAGGGTCTGGAGCAGTGAGGTGCAGCCCCCTTGTGTGGTCTAGCTGGCACCTGCCAGCTGCTACCGAATTCCAGCCACTGGCACCTGCTGCTGCTTTCGGATCTTGTTGAAGAGTTCCATGTACTGGACCATGGTGTCTGCGGAGCCATAGACGGCATCGTGTCTGTTCCCAAACACTGCAGGAGCCCCTGGAGTGTGGCTGCCCAGAAAACTCTGCAGGAACTCCAGCAGCAGGCTCCAGCAGTCACTAGCCACCACACAGGGGCCGTACTCCACCTGCGACCAAAGGGACAGAGGGGGAAGTGAGGAGGGCAAAGATGAGGGCTGCTTCTCCTGCAATGTTCTCTGGACCAGAGCCAGACATCCCTCTTAGGAACCAGGCACAGTGGTGAAGCAGGTAATCCCTGCACTCCAGAGGCTGAAGCAAGACAATTGGCCCAATCTTATGGCCAACCTGGGCTACACAGTGAGTTCAAGGCCAACCTGTAGGACACAGTGAGATGAGATTCTGTCTCGAAAAGAAAAAGAAAAGGGCCAGGTATTTAGCTCAGTAGTGCCGAAGCATGCCTTGCAAGCACAAGGTCCTGAGTTCAATCCCTGCTACAAAAGAAAAAGAAAAAGAAAAAAGAAAAAAGACACCCTTCTAGCACAGCGTTGGTCCAGAACTATTCAACTGACACACCGCACAGCCTTTTCACTGGTGTCTCTTATTATTCTCCTGCAGCTGGGTGGGCCTGCTCACAGTCTGAGAAAATCCCAGGCATTGAAGGAGAGCTCAGGGAAACTAAGAGAAAAGGAAGGAAAAGGGGAAGAGGAAGGGGAAGGGGAGGGGAGGAAGGAAGCAGGGCAGGTGACTAAACACGGGGGTAGGACTCCTATGTTCCTAAGGCCAAGCACAACACCTGAAGTATACCCAGGCTTGGCTCTGGCCCTAAGAATGAGTTTCCCAGCCAATGTGGCAGAGGCCAAAGGACATACATTTTGGGTTTTCTCATCTTCTCTCTTAATTTTTCACAGGAGAGCAGCCACAGGAAACATAAGTAAGAAACAGCGGAGTGCACATAACTACCCAGCTGGAAACTGGAGGATGATGGGGAATTCCAGGAACTGGGCCAGTTTAGGAAACCTTGGTCCTGAGGGTCCTGAGAGAAACTCCTCCCTTCTGGCTCCCTCCACCCACCTTCCACAGGTCTTTACGTTTTAAGGCCCTAACACCGAAGCCTCCCAACCAGTCAGCAGGGTTCTCACTGCCTGAATTCCCAAAGCCACTGTGCCTCTTTCATGGTGTTTTTTAGACCAACTTCAAAAACTGTGTGGAGCTCGGCTCCACATCTGCCATCCTGGCACACAGGGAAGCAGAGACAGGAGGATCACAAGTTCGAGCCCAGCTTACGCAATTCAGTGAATTAGTGAGAGCCTGTCTCAAACTAAGAAGTTAAAAGGGCTGAAAATGTAGCACAGCGAGAAGGCCCTGAGTTCAATCCCTGGTACTGGAAAAAAATTCGTGGACCGGGGATTTAGCTCAGTGCCACCACACCTGCTTTGTAAGCACAAGGTCCTGAGTTTGATCCCCAGTACCTGAAAAAAAAGGGAATCGCTTGTGTGTTTTGGCCTTGATCTTGTGCTAAGTGATGATTTTTCAAAAGACAGGCTTTGTAAGATTACTTTTGGGCCTAGGGATTACTGGCTAAGATTACTTTGGGGGCTCAGCGGTTCTGGCACCTGCCTTGCAAACGCAAGGACCCGAGTTCAATCCCTGGTACCAAAATAAATAAATAAATAATAAATAAATAACACAGATTACTTTTGTATCGTCCACACAGTGCTGGGCATGTAGCAAGTTGTGGATTTTCAGACCCCAAAACCCGCTGCTGCCATTCTCCCTGCCTCTCACACACGAGAGACAGTGCACCAAGAGGCAAGCAGACAGTCAGTACACATGAGAGTACTCTGCATATGAGTATGTGGACACATACGACAGAAAGCGCACCTTTAGAGCCCTCTTCCGAAGGGATGGCTGGTCCCCCACATTGTAACTCTCCTCCCTCCCTAACTACCCTTCCTTTCTCCAGCAATCCAGGCCTCCTGTACGTTCTACTTGGTGCAAGCCACTTCCTCTTCCCATCCTAGGTTGGGGATTATATGAAAGACTAAAGGACAAAAAATTCTTCAAAGGAAGCACAGGTGTTTGGGAGCCAGGGTCCAGGTAGGTATCCATCTGGCCTGTCTGACCTGAGCAGGACTGGGGAACCTTTCTGGATCTTCCTGTGGTCCTGAGAACTGAACCAGGGGGTGCTCTACCTCTGGGCTCCATCCCCAGCCCCCCACCTCGAGTCAGGGTCTCACTAAATAGCCCAGATGGAATTCAAATTCTCAAGCCTCACTCAGTACAGGGATTACTGGGTCATCACCCCCCTGGTTAGGACCAGACCTGCAGAGCCCTTTGCTGAACCACCTCCTGCACACCCCACTCTGGCTCCCCAAGGTCTTACCTCCACGGAGATGCCCCGAGCACTGGGCCCCATTGTGACCGTGCCCACCTTCACCAGAAAGTCGCAGTACTGGTAGCGGGTGCCGCGGGTCTCGATCTTACTGGCCTTGGCGCTCTGGAAGAAGCCCTTGAGCTTCACCATGAGCACATCGAAGTTGGAGTCAGCGGTGAGGCACGGGCCGTTCTCAAAGAGGGCGAAGCAGCTCAGTGGGTACTCGGAGTTGTGCATCACGTACATCAGCTTCCCGGCCTGACCTGCGGAGACAGCCCACACTGCACAGGACTGTCACCCGCACACCCACAACAGTCACGGCAAGGGAACTGTGCCACCTTGGCTGCCTGACGGGGATCCACATTGGCCTTTTCCAGAGGGGTAGTGGGGACAGCAGGCGGGGGACACTCGGAACTAAGAGAGTTGATGACTGCTTCACTGTCAAGCTGTGTGGGGAGCTTGCAGACAGATTGCTTAATTCCGATGATTGTTAGCACACGTTTTGTTATCATATACGATCTGATAAGTAAAACAGTGGTACTTGGGCAGGGCAGTGAGGCAGCTGTCATTTCTACCCCTTCCTACCTTGAACTCTTCCGCTTAGACATCTAGGAAAAAGTCCTGGAGCAGCAGGAAAGTGGAGAATGTGAGCACGAAGCTGGAAAGGAAGACTGGGTGCCAACTTGTTGTAAGTCTGGTGTGCTAGGCCTCTGGAAGTTGGGGCCTTGTCCAAAGGTGGGAGGGCCAGGAGTATTTTAAGAAGTCCAGCGGACCTGGGAAGCAAGCAGCACACTACAGCAGAGAGAACTGAAGATCTGGGCTCGGAAGGCCAGTTCCAAGCTGCAGCTCAACCTTTCCAATTTCTGAGAAGGGAGTTTTACTCACTCATTCCTTTTTATAGGTTTTCTACAAGAAGGAAGGCTATACGTATTTGGTTCCCCCAAAAAATAAAGAAGGCAAAAAATGGAAAGCAACATTCCACTAATAAACCATAAGAAGTAATGAACAGATTGCCACAATCCCAGGTGTTCAGTATGTTATTAAACCTCCCAACACTGTGCTAGGCTTCAGACATCCCAGGAGAGAACTAGGACCCAGACTTAAAAAGCTGCCAATCTGCCGGGCATGGTGGCACACGCCTGTAATCCCAGCACTTGGGAGGCTGAGGCAAGAGGATCTCTGTGAGTTTGAGACCAGCCTGGGCTACATAGTGAGTTCCAGGTCAGTCTCAACTACACAGTAAGACCCTGTCTCAAAAATCAAAACAAAACAAAAATAAATAAATAAACAAAAATAAAAAGCTGACAATCTCATGAGGGACAGGGATGAAAAACATTCTGAAAGATCAAAAAACCACAAAATAAGACAAGTGATCAGCTGGGAAAGACCCGAAAGTCTTCTGAAAGGCAAGAAGGACTGCAGGATAGGAGGAAACTAAAGTGAGCAAAGTCAGCAGGGAAACGGCCCTTGCAGGATACTGAGAGAGAGAAGGATTTGGCCACATGAAGCAAAATGATATTCTTGGCAGACAGAAGATAGTGGCAAGGGAAAGGGGAGAAGACAGCACCCATGGGCCCTAGCAGGGGCTATGGGTCTTCCCAGGACCTTCGACCTCAGCTCTGCTCCCACTCCTGCATGCAGCAGGTTCTGCAGTCAGCCTGCAGCCCATCTCTCTTGCCTACCGGATGCCAACCCACAGCCTTTCTCTGCTCTGGAACCAGTTCAAAACAACCTGAAGAAAAAGGTCCCTCAAACTGATCTGTCATTCTCTCCTCAGGTCACTTCCTGTAGTCACGTGCTTAATCCACCCTGTGGGCCTGCAAATGGTGTTACACATCCAATTGTGAGTTGTTTTTTGTTGTTGTTGTTGTTTTTTAAATTACAACAGCCAGGCATGGTGGTACACTGTACACCTGTAAGCCCAGCATTAGGAAGGCTATTGCTGTTAAGTGCGAGGCCAGCCTGGGCTCCATAGTAAGTTCAAGGGCCAGTCTGAACTACACAGAAAGACACTGTCTCAAAAAAACCACAAAACAAAACAGAAAAATCACAACAAAACTCTTTCCTATCTGCACACCAGGTAAAGCAGAACCGTTACCATCTCCCTTTCACTGATGAGGAAAATGAAGGTAAAGTCCCACAGCAGCAGGAACTTGTTAAAAAACACCTGGGGTCAAGGCAGCTGTACAGGAAACTTGCTTTCCATTTTTTGCTTTCTTCCTTTCTCTACTGAATCACATATATATGTAGCTTTTCTTCCTTCTTGGACAAATCCTGTACAAATGAGTGAGAAGAGCCCTTTCTCAGAGACTGGTAGGAGCTGGGTTTGGAAAGCAGACCTTATGATCCCAGATACCCCTCTGCCCCTCCAGTCAGAAACCTGGGCCCAGGGCTGGGGATTTAGCTCGGTGGTTCTGCTGCCTGCCTCGCTAGCACAAGGACCCAAGTTCCAACACCGGTACCAAAAAACAACAACAACAACAACAAAAAAAAAAACAACCAGAAACCTGGGCCCAACTCCGGCGACCTGCAACTTAGGGACCCTTCCTGGCGATGCCAGTGCTGCTGCTGTGAGGGTCTGAGCCACATTCACACAGCCTGCAGGCAGCAGATCCCAGGACTCACATTCACTCTCTTCCCCTCTGTCCCATTGTGTGCCGTGAACCATGAACCGTGAAGGTGTTGTCTCCCCAGCCAGGCCGTACCTTCTGGAGTGTTCTTCACTGAGTACTTTTGTCATTATCTTTTTTTTTTTTTTTTTGGTATCAGGGATCGAACTCAAGACCTTGTGCTTTCAAGGCAGGTGTGGTGCCACTAAATCCCCAGCCCTGTTGTCATTATCTCTTGAGGGTGTCAAAGGAAACACTGCAATGTTATCAAAGAAAACACAACACAGCTCCGCACTGCCATTTATTAAATACTGCATGACACCTCCCTTCTAAGGGTTAAGCATGCATTGTACACACTTAACATGTGATTCCCACGTAATGAGCACAACCCTGGGTTATTTCAGTCACAGTTGTCGCCATTTCACAGACAGAAGCATGGTACTGAGAAGAGTTCAAAAACAGAGCCCATGCCAGAGAGGTTCAGTAGAAGCTAAGTACACAGAGAACAAGGGCAGTGTTGGAAGAATGGAAGATTAGCAACACCGGAAGCTGCCCCACCCTTAGGGCTGAAAGGAGAAAGAAATGAGCCAGGAATGAGAGCCACTGAGCAGGAGCCAGAACCAAGGAGAAGACACAAGGCCAGTGGCACTGCCCAAAGCAGAGGGACAGAAGTACAGTATCTCCCTTTCCTCTCGTGCACCAGTCTTCCCCCAAGCCGACCAAAGGGAACAGAAGGAACTAGAAGAGCCTGAGAATGCTGTCTGCAGGGGAAGTGCGAGGAAGAGGAATGGATGGAAAGGAAACAGCCACACAGGTGCTGGGGCTTGCCCACCCTTGCAGTCAGTATGCGGGAGGCCAGGACACAGGAATCTGCCTCCATGAACGAAGCCTCTGTGTTACGAAACTGTCCAAGGCCAGGTTACTGTAGAGCCAAGGCTAAGAGAACCAAGTTCCCCAACTCATATACTACAGCCACCACCTACAGCCCTCTCATCACTCAACAGCCAGAAAACAAAAGCTGACTCATGGGTCAAGGTCATGCTAATGAAGTAGCCAAAACACTGGCCAGATGTAGGAAACAGGAAATCTTTACACAGAAGATCTACCAAAGCTCAAAGAATCACATACAGAATCTTGGGCCTGAAGTGAGCGTGGTGGTGCAACCTGTAAGTCCAGCACTTGGGAGGCTGAGACAAGAGGGCTGCTGCAAGTTTAAGGCCAGCTAGAGCTAATTAGTGAACTCCAGGTCACCCTGACCTACATAGCAAGACCCTGTCTCAAAAAACAAAAACCAAACAAAAAACTGAGGGCCTAAATCAAGTCTTTAAACATCAGAGCATGTAAGGATTATCTGGAGAGCCTAAAATGAAGATTATGAGATCTGGAGTCAACTGCTAAATGGGCAGAAACATTGCACCTTTAAGAAGAAACCTACAGGACAGGGATTTAGCTCAGTGGTTCCACCTCCTGCTTCGTTAGTGCAAGGACCCAAGTTCAATCCCTGGTACCAAAAAAACAAAAACAAAAAATAAAAAAACAAACATAATGTGTAATGGACATTCATTTATACTGATTTATAAAAGTTTTTAAACACTGAAGCAACTGTTGCTAAACTATGTATTCTTTCATAACTGTGCAATGAGGCAAGAGGATGAGATTCTGTGATTAGTATTCCTGATGTCCCTATTTACATTAAACAATAAATCATAAATTAAAAATGCAAAACAGTTGCAGATTTCATCTGTGCAAATTTTTCCAATGCTAGTTGTTTTTCTTTAGATGTTTTTCACGTTTGGTTCCTCCATGCCAGGACATAAGCCACTTAGTTTGTGATAGGAAAGAGTAGAGTCACAGAAAAAAAATGGCAACACCTCAAACCTCTCCAGCCTTGGGTTTTGCAACCTTACAAGCTCAGAAAGAATTGATTTGAGGGGCGTACTAGGGATCAAACTCTGGACCTTGTGCTTGCAAGGCCGGTGGTGGAATCACTGAGCTAAATCCCCAGCCCAAGAAATACTTTTAACTAGGAAGAAGAGGGTAAGATTAAGATGTGTAGAAAATGTGAGAAATGCAAAAATTTGCAGACAGACAACACTAGCAATACAGACTTAGCTATGACTCATCCAGAGATGGACTTGAGGAAGATACTGGCTTTTGTCCACCAGAGGTCACTGTCTTACTAAAAGCAGCTGATGGAGGACAGCTGTGACTGAGGTCTACATACAAATTGAAATGAAAACATTAAAAGCTCACCTCCAGTCACAACTGACAGGAATTCCTGTACTTTAAAACATGTTTAGGTGACAGATGCTAAAAAGATGATGGAATGAATTTAGCTCAGCAACACAACGCTTGCCTGGCAAGCACAAGGTCCTGAGTTCAATCCCCAGTACCCAAAAAAGATGATGGAATGAAAAGTACAAAGAATCTGGCAAAATTATGCATCCCGTGTTTAAAAAAAAAAAAAAAAGTGAGCATTCTGTAACATTCCTTCAGGAAGAATAAAAATGCATAGCTTTTTCTGCATGTTTGTGAGCACTGAGTCTTAAAAGAGTATTCCAGTTTTCAGTGATTTTTTTGGAATAAAAGCATTATTAAATATCATTTAGGTACTGAACACTGAATGGCATGGTTGAATATGTCTTTAGTCCACTTTGAAATGTGCCTGTTAATAGGATCATATCGTTCAGTTGTATATTTCCAAAATTAATTGATGTGCTTTCAAATGTTGAGACCAAAGTAGCAAAGAAGAATTAGGGACTTCATTATAAAATTAATAGAGGAATTTGTTGTGGAGCTTTATATATTAAAAAGAGGTATCACTGCATATAAAAAGTATATTATTAGTCATGCTGGTGCTCTTGTATTCCAGGGGAAGTTTAGCTGAGAAGTCTTACTTTAGTACTGGTACAGCTACCATAGCTTTTAAGGATGTAGCAACATCTCATTATAAATTATAGCTTCTTAGTCCAATGTCTCAGATCTTTCAGAACTTTTAGCCAAGTTCAATCTTTTTGGTGGTAAAACTTAGTGAGTTGTATAAGTTATTTTTTCCCTACAGTAATCCACAATCTGTTCTGTGTGGGTTGGCACCTATTTATAATTCTTTTTTTTTTTTTGGTTTTTTTGAGACAGGGTCTCACTATGTAGTTGAGACTGACCTGGAACTCACTATGTAGTCTAGGCTTGTCTCAAACTCAGTGATCCTACTGTCTCAGCCTCCCGAGTGCTGGGATTACAGGTGTGCGCCACCATGCCCAGCCCTATTTATAATTCTTAAAACAAGGCACCAAAGGGAGCCAAGTGCAGCAGTTTTGCTTGGTCCTGTTGAGTATAAGCAGCAGTAGCTGTTCTGATTTCATGAGTGAGTCCTCCTCGTAGTGCAACTCAGAACTGAGGTCTTGACAAATAGGAGAATCCATTCAGTGTAAAGCTGCAAACAGCGGTCGGGTATAAGGGGATGTGCAGGAATTCTCATCTTATTAATAATGGATAGTTCATAAATAAAACTAGGCACATAGTAAATAGGTGTGTGATTTATAAATTATAAACTAACCGTCCTTCCCCAATTTCCCATGTATTTTCTTTTTATTTCAGAATGAGTGGACTTGGTGGTTCTGAGCCTGGCTGCAGAGCTAAAAGCATTTTCACCCGTGGGTCTCCTCCAGTAACAGCTGAATTAGACCCACTCTGTTTTAAAAATCATTCCAGATGGTTCTCATGGACATCCAGGGCTGACAACCACTAGTTCTCCTTTTATGAAATGATCTCATTACACTGGACTTGTTTGCAAGAAACAAAGTAGAATCACTCAACTTGCAGCTACTTACTTATTGGTTGTATTTGTCAAAAGTTTCTTTAGGAAGAAAAGGTAACTGGAAAATAATAAGTCCACCTTTTTTTAGAAAACTAAAACCTACCAGTAGCAGCTTAAATATGATTTTTTTTTGGTCCCAGGGATCGAACTTGGAATCTTGCGCTTGCGAGGCAGGCAGCAGAACCAGAGCTAAATCCCTGGCCCTTAAATATGAATTTTTGATGTTTCATTTTTCTGACCCCTTTGCCTTTAAAATTTACAAAAATAGCTGGAGATTTAGCTCAGTGGTTCCACCCTCTGACTTGCAAGAGCAAGGTCCCAAGTTCGATCCCCGGGACCAAAAAAACAAAACAAAAATTTACAAAACTAAACAGCTAATTATTTGAAAAAGCATGCTTAGCCATTGTAGATGATACATTTGGTTGATACTGACATGCTGTCTTACTATGGCCGCTTGATCCATCACTACAGTAGGTGATAGTGGCCTTATTCATTCTTCGCAGTTTGATGATTGAGACAGGTTTTGGAAAAATCATTACTATCCTCTTCTAAATTTCTTAGAAATTTTTCCTGAGTACTTAAGTAGTTTGACTCAAGTACTTTATTTACAGTTCAAATAAACATATATTTCATGCATGACACACTTAGGGCTTAACTGGAAAGAACCTCAGCATGGTGTGGCATCAAGAATCCATGTTGTGAATATTTTATATTGTGGAATGATATTGAAATATGAAGAATTCTGGTAGTTGTGTTTACTACGTAAATGTATGTCTATAAATTTTTTAATTTAAAAAGAGTTCAAACTGCATAAAAGAAAATTTGCAGAACTTTTTTGACATGATGGATTTATTATCTGGGTTCTCGTGATGGTGTCAAAGATCTGTCCCTATGTCATATGATGCATAGAGCCAACTCATCAAGATATATGCATTAAGCGCCGGGGATTTAACTCAGTGGTTCTGCCAACTGCTTCACAAGCACAAGGTCCTGAGTTTGATCCCCAGTACCAAACAAATATAAATTAAATGGGTGCAATTACTTATAACTTAATTAGGATTCAATAAAGCTTTAAAAACAAGTTCCAGTTGCAGAAAGACCACAACAGCCCCAGTCTAAGAGATAAAGGGCTAAGAAATACTGAATTCAGAAACCCAAGGGCCAGGGATTTAGTGCAGTGGCACTGATTCTGCCTCACAAGCACAAAGTCCTGAGTTCAATCCCTGGTACCAAGAAACAAAAAACAAAAAAGAAACCCATCCAGCCACATGTTTAAGAACTCTGCCCTTAGCGGAAAGGACAGATATGAATGGACATGAACGTCCACAAAGGCCACACCACGGTTAGCCACCCCAAGACCCACTTCACTGACCTTGGCTGCCAAGAGTGGAGGCAGCTGTATGGTAAGTCTCACAGTCTACACAGAACGTCCCCTGCTTCTCTGCCCCCAGCATCTCCAGTTTGCGGGTGAGGAGCTCCACCGTCTGCTGGACACTCTTGCCCTCAGCCACAGGCATCTGGGACACACTGGAAAGGAAAGCACCGAGTCGTGGGTGTCCAGAGTCACGAGCACTAACTGAGCCACTTGCTCTCACCCTGAATCATGGTGCCTTGACCTTGCCTCTTAAGGACAAGGAAGTAGAGACCTAGTCCCTGGGACCTCCTGCGAGAACCAAAGAACAAATCTCAGGCCTCTCTCACCAAGGCAATGAACTTCCTACCACACCAGCACCTTCTAGGCATGGCATGTGTGCCAAAGTTCAAGTGAAGATTCCAGGTGGTACACAGACTGAGCACTCAGTAACGCGGAGTCATGTAAGAAAAAAGGGAAGCCAGGTGTGATGGCGCTTGCCTGTAATAATTTATGTATATACATCCTTCCCCTTCCCCCACGCACTCTGGCTCTGTCAGCGCGTGGGTCCTGGTCTGAAGACCCTATATTCTCAAGTCCCACTCCCAAAAGAACAATATGGCCTCACGGATAGGAAGATGTACCAAAAAATAAAGAAAGGAGATACTAGGCAATGATTGGGTCCTGGGATAAAATTCCTAACCTGCTGCCCTCTAAAAGGAAGGGGGCACATCTTCCAGAAAAAAAGGAAGAGCCCTTGGTCCCTCACAGGGGCCTCTCATCCACGGAACCCAAAAACATCTTGCTCAGTTCCTGCGGGACGGCAGACCTCCGCACCAAATCACCACTTCGGGCCACTCCGGGCTCCAAAGACCCTCCATAAGTCCAAGCCCCACACTACAAAAGCCCTTGAAGCCCTACCAGGTCACTCCCATAGCCTCCGGATTGAGAGTGGCACTACCACACAGAAGAACACAGAGGTCTCCCGCCGTCCATAAGTACTGAAGCTCCGCCAACGCAGAAAGCAGGCGCCGCGGCACTCCGGAAATGCATCACATAGAGCGTCGGGTGCGCGCGCATTGAAAACGGGGCGTGTCTGGACGCTCCCTCGATGACGCACAAGTGACGTCTTCGTCCCGGCTCCGCCCCCCGGTTTGCAGCTCTAGGAGCTGCCATTTGGCTGAGCACCTAAACTTAGCTTCATGAGGCTTGGAAAGAGCGATTTCGGAATTCCACCACTTAGAGAAGCCAACGTTAAAGGCAATGAGTCCCGGAGTCCCGTTCCAGGACCCGGAGACCTTTGCGAGGTGGGGCGGCACTGGTAGCGTTTCCGACCTCCGAACGCTGGGGGGCGCTGTGATCTCTGTGTTGCCTCTTGAGCGGTAGGAGTTCACTGCGCAAGCGCACTCAGAGCTAGTCGGTGTCCCCACGTGTGAACTTTCTCAGCGACTTTTTGGAGGAAAATGCCCAAGTTCAAGACAGCCCGTGGGTTCGGGAATCAAGAAAAGCATGCACCTCTGGCCGAGCAGATCCTGGCTGGGGACGCGGTGAGGGCAGGGGTCCGGGAAAAGCGACGGGGTCGCGGAACCGAGGAGGAGGAGGAGTACGTGGGGCCCCGACTGAGCCGGCGGATTCTGCAGCAAGCCCGGCGGCAACAGGAGGAGCTCGAGGCCGAGCACGGGAGTGGGGAGCGGCCTGGCAGGCCA